TATATATATATATATATATTTCATGGTAAATGTTATAAAGCTTAGTCGAATTTTTTATAAATATTATGTACATCCATATGTTCTATTATAAGTTATATACTTCTGTATCATTAATTGATTATCGTGAAGAATATAAAATGCGCTAACATTTTTTCTTGTGATAGGATTGATATAAAAAGCACGTTTTTAAGTATTTTTGTTTCTAAGATCTTGTATATATTTTGTGATTATAGAAAGTAATATCTAAAGTTATCATTATTGTTAATTCTTTTGTACCATAAGCATTATTTGATGACATGTGCGAAACATCTTGTACATAGCATTGCTTTATCATTATATTTGTAGCATTATTAAGAATGTGATTATAGCGAACCTTGCGACGATTATTCAAGAATATATGGGAAGATCATTCAGAAGCGTATCTTTGTATATAACTTTGTGCGCTGAAGAATAAAACGATTGTACAATTTCGATTTAGCATAAGAAAAATAGCGAACCCATGTGAGGATCGTTAAAATAACAAAAAAAAAAGAAAAAAAGATGCGAAACTTTTGTAAGATGTTTCAGATTTTTTTTTGCAATTTTCAGCAAAAAAACGAGATAAAACAATTTTTGTCAAAAAAATCTGTTAATAATTATTAATTTAATTGAGCGTGATTATAATATGAAAATATCTTCGGATGTTTATCAACCGTGATTAAAATTTATTTTATATGTAACAAAAAAAATTTCACGCTATCTCAAAGATATATAGGTACGTTGCGTACACTACACGTTTAGCCAATGAAAACTATTGCTTTCATAATATTATGCATATGTATGAACAAGCTAAATATCAGATTTGTCTCGGGATTTTACCTGATTTTATCTGATTTTATTACGAAATTCGACAAGAACGTTGAGTAGAATTCTAAAACGTGATATTCGAAGTTCTAGTCAACTAATATATGATTACGAGAAAAAAAAAAAAAATCACTATTCGATTCACCGGTGTGATTTATAAGTGATTAAGAATCATATAATTATCATATAAGTTGTAAAGTTTTATAGTTTTATATTGTTTGTGAAACTTATTTGTTTCTTTGTTCGACGTTCCCTTTGCGATAGACGACGCGACAGAGAAGCCAAAAATGTCTCAAAATTCGAGGATCAAACTGTGCCAATATGTGTTCCGCAAAACTTAAAAATTAAGTTAGAGTTTAAATGTCTCTTGTATTATATATAAATTCGAAAATAATTGTTGTAAACACGAACGAATATTTATTTCTTCCAACATATTATTTTAATAAAATCTTGTTTCGATTTATGTATTTTTATTCTTTTATAATACATAGTAGCACAGTTTGATCATTAAATTTTAGATAGAACATCCTTCATAACTACTACTTTTTAATTATCTCTTGTTTTCAATCATTTGTTCTCTTTTTCTTTTTCATAATATTTAAATATAACTGTTTCATTGCCAATAGTCACATGCATTTATTTGAGAATCGTTATCATTTGTTACAAACAATATTAATTGTAAAATGAAAATGAACTCGTGTCCCAAATATGTACATACGAAATAAACAAAGTGAATTTTTTGCAAGAATTATTTGTAGTTGCAATAATTTGAATGACGTTAAAATGATTTCTAATTTATTTCTAGTTTTTTTGGATAACTTCGGATGAGTTGAAGAACAAGCAGCAATATTCAACGTTGATTTTCAATTCGACAATTCAATTCGTGAAAATACATATAAGAATCTTTTAATAATAATAAGAATTTAAATCTTTAATAATCTTTAAAAAAAAAAGAAAGGAAAAAAATAAACGAAAATGCCGAAGGAAGAGGAAAATGTAATTTGTGAATTAATTGAAACACCGAACTTGGAATATTATTCAAATATTGAAGAATACTCTAAAAACATGTTTGAATTACAAAAGGTAGTCAACTTGTTTTTCTATTTTTCCAAATTGTGTATTAAAATAAGAAATTTCCATTTAGAAAATAAGTAATATCGAAGAGGTGCGAAACATATTGGAATTAGTGGTAACAAAATCCAAGATTTATCAGAAAGAAAAATTAACTGATTATCAAACTCTTAACGAGTGCCATCTGGAATGTCCCCAAAGTTTCTATTTTGAAAAAATGAAAGAGTTTGCCAATAATTTACCCCCGAATATCTTGTTACTTGTATGTAATTTCACAGTTCGTTATATTATATATCGTAAATAAATTTAAAGTGTTTATACAACATTTACAATGTTGAAAAATCGTCTAGGAATGGGAAGAAAACATTCGAAATTTAATATCGCCTAATTTACGAACCAAATACGTGGATATTTTTGAGGATCAAATGCTCGAAACAAAGACACGTTATTACGAATCAATGCACGACATGGCTGTAAAAAAGGTGATAGCGATAGAATGTCAAGATATCTGCAATTTGGGCTTAGAACAAATTCCTCCGTATAAGCTTGCCGGACGAACTGAATTTTATCCAAAATTTTTGAAAAATCGATGCGCGCTTAAAAAAAAATATTACTTACCTCATAAATTGATGAAAAATATAGTAGCAAAAGCTCATTTCTTGATGCCAAAATGGATTTGCGATTTCGGACGTTATCGAGCAGAATTTGATTATCTTGATTTTAACAGGTGAAACATTTCTTTGTAAACAAATTTGGATTTTTTATTGAAAATTTTTGATAATAAGTTTAATACACCATTTTTTCTTTAAAAGTTTATAAATTTTATACAGATATTGAATAAAAAAAAAGCGAAAATCATCAGTTTTTTAATAAACGAACGATTGTAGATTTTTAGATTTGGTAGAAAATGATACGAAAAAAGGCGCGCTTATGATCACTAGTGTCTATTACAGCGACATCGTGCGACTAATCTCTCAACCTCGCTATCTTAGTGACGTACCATCATTTTCTTTGCCTAATTTTCTCAACTGCGCCAACAATTTACTCGCTCTTCAAATTGTCACGCTCATGATAAATACTATAGAATATTTGTTTCAAGTATTAAAAGACAAGCAAATCCTACCTTTATTCAAGGTAACAACGATAAAAGAAATAAAGTTAATTATCTTTGAATTTTATCCATTGATTAAACGATCAACAATAAATCAAAAATAATCATTGCTGCTAATTTTAGAAAGTATGATTTATTAAAGTATAAATAATTGAACGAAAAAAAAAACTCAATGATATTTATTTTTTATTTAGGTTCAATTAAAATGCGAGGAAAATGATTTATTTCTTAGCCCGACGATGCTTGAAATTTGTAGCTCGTTTTATAATATTATCAATCAAATTAAACTTACCGCGCAACAATTGTCACCACTGGAGTCTTGGGTTAGTGTAAAAATTCATCGAGAATATATTAAAGTCGAATTACCAGAATGGTACTTAAAAGAGACGTATCAACGTCTTGAAGAAATATTGAAAGACACATTTCGACCCTTCAATGATTATGTTGAAAAACTGCATGAAAAATTCAATATTGTTTTTGATCCAAAATCGCATGATATCTATAGTAGAATGGGATACAGTTTTCAAGAAAAAATATCTCAAGTTGAAGATTTTAATCGACTCATTCGAGATATAAATGGCATGGTAAATTCACTGTCGTATAATATCTATTTTCTTTTTTTTTTTAAATTGACAAAAAGAAATATATTTTTATATTTTAGCCGGATCACGAATACTTTTCGATCGGGATAATAAATCAAATTGCAGCAAAGGCAGGGCTTCTTTATTACGCGGAAGAAATGCGTCGATTGATTATCGAGGAATTAGTCAAAAGCCATAGAAATTACAATCTTGAAATTTGTAAAACGTTTGAAGATATAAGGGAACGTGCTTTACATATTCCTTACAATACTAAAGAATTGCTCGAATTAGGTAAATTTTTTTAAAAAAGAATTTTTAATCGCGTTATAGTGCACACAGTGTAAAAAAATTAAATAAAAATAATTTCACTTTAGGTGAATACATGTTATACGCCGCGTCAACGTTAATGAGATTATTAGAGGAAAAGATTACTTTATCGTTGCGCATGATGGCATCGTTAATCGGAATGACAACATTAACCAAAGATCATATCGAATTAAATAACGACACGATTCATTGGTTAAAGCGGATAAGACCAATATTCGAACAAAACAGCGCCATGTACGAGCAAACTAAATTTGAATTAGAGGAGAAACTTGTGAAGAAAATCGATGATCTTAACGCGAGAGTTGAGGATATGTATCCCAGGTGAAATATTAATATATAATATTAAAACACGCATCGTTGTATCGTTTCATCGTTTTCATCCATCTATTAGATTGAAAATTATGAATGATATGGATTACGCAGATCGCATTCGAGAGTACATTGAATTCATGCGAAAGTTCGCCCGTGATTTAGATCGGATGGACGAAAGGGTGAACTGGATTAACGAGGAAGAGAAACTTTTCAAATATCCCCTCTCTGTATATCCACGTATCAATGAATTGAAAGAAATTATAATGCCGTATTACGATTTAATTTATCGAGGTTATCAATGGCAAAGGCATCGGGACGTTTGGTTGGATGGCCCGTTCGAGTATTTGGATTCAAACGACGTTGAAAACAAGGCAACTGATTATTTTTCAAATTTCAGTAAAATAAACAAACAGTATAGGACAAGAATAAAGATAGAAATTGCAATGAATTATCCGCACAGGTAATTATCCGCACAGGTATCGAATGTTATTAATCATTAAGAAATCAATATTTCCGATA